ATATATGTAATTAGCAGCTCTGCATTATCTATAATTCATGATGGTTCATTCAGTTAGTTCTTTGTCTATGGATGAGCAGATACTGTGTTTCTCTGTGTTGTAACAAGAACAGACAACAGCTTGCAGTAAAGTTTAGGTCTGCTATTGGGTGCAATTAACCAAACTGATAATTATCCATGTAAGACTGAAATATTTATCAGATCATTGCCATTATGGAGTTGTAGGTCAACAGAGAAGCATTAGCATATGGCAGGTCTTTGTAGATTTCAACATAATTCTGTAATGACGTTTGCAGCAGCACAAGACCTTATAACACTCCCAGGCAGAAATCAATGGCCTGGAATGGGAGTCCTCCAGTAGACACTTTATGCTAAGGGGAAAATGAGACTTTTCTGATGTCTAGAGGAAATCTGCCATAGGTTAGGACATAACTTAAAGGGGGGGAAAAGTATTAGAAAAATAGCCCCAAACACTGTAGTGTACTGGAGCAAAAGCAATGAAATACAGCATTGTTGCTTTTAATTCAATGAAAGGAGCACTTATGATACTGATGTGTCAGTCCATGCATCTTTGTATGTTTACTTGCACAAAAGCAGTATTGATTTCCTCCATTTGCCTTCAGTTTTTTTTTTCTTTTCAGTTCTCTTGAAAAACCCCTGATAAAAACTCAATTTATAGAGCGAGTTAACAGAATGGAGTTAAATTGTAAATCCATTCTGGGCTCACATTTGTAAACAGCACAAAAACAATTCATATCTCAAAGGCGACATATACAAAATGTTCTGACTCACATAATTAATATGCATCCACAACAACTAAACCGATTTATGTATTTAGGTAAAAAAAAAAAAAAAAACTGTGTAATTGCCTGCTGATTATAATAGTTGTCGTATCAAGTTGTACTAAGGTTTGAAAAAGTGGTTCTCTGAAAACCTTTTGTTGGATTCAAACTTTTATAAGGTTTTAAAAGACCAGAGTTTTTACAAGCTGTATGGAGTAATTAAGGTCATGTTATTCGAACATGTTTTTGTTGCTTGCAAGAACGAAAACTTCCAGTCGTCAAGCTGCCCACTATTCTTAGTATGGTAGGGCTACTTCAAAGCTACAGGCAGCAGGTATGTTAACTGCAGGTTGTTGTTGGAAACATTGTCCCATCAAGCAAATCTCCTGTCCCACCACATTCCCAAACATGATTTGAAAATTTAATTAAACATGATTTCTATTGGACGTCAGTGTTATATTAAAGAAACCGTTTTGAGAGGACTTGTGACATGATTTATTATCCTACTGAAACTAGTCATTAGTAGATAGGTACTCTGAGGTATTAGTAGAATGGGCAACACCAGCAAAAACACTGACGCTAAAATGGTGCTCAGTTGGGACTAAGTGTGCCAAGAAAACGTCAACATCACCCTGATAGATTGATGCTTTCATACTGATTAGAAAAAAAATCTCACTCTGCTATTTGAATGTTACAAAAGGCAACATTCAAGTTTTCCAATCTGATACTCTGGGTGATCTCGTGTGAATTGTAGCCTCAGTTGCCCGTTCCATGCAGACCGAAGTGGTAGCCAGTGATTTATGCTCTTATGTAGTTCAAATGCTTGAAGACTGTCTTATGATAGAATTGTCAGTCTGACATTCCCTCCACTTTAATGCATTTCTGTGATAGGAGGGGGTTTCACCTTTCAATAACAACCCACCAGAGATGCGCAGTCCTAAATTAGCAAGACAAATTAGTCAACTGGGTAGAATAGATGGGCTCAAATGTAAGATCAATGTTTTATTCCATTCCAGAGAAGGATAGAGAATCAATCAGTGTTGCAAGAGATGATTCTTCATGCAAAACAGAATCTACTCACACTGGTTCATGTTGCCTATCTGCATACACATGTCTATTACACATAGGAGCATACACACACACCACTGTGTCACAAACCCTCAAGACATTTAGGATGCCTGACGTGAAACTAAAAGATGAAAACATAATGTAAATATTTATTTTATAAAATGTGATATATAGGGGTGTGGTAATTGTAACTATTGAAGATACATAAAACATGTCTGATGTAAGAGACTCTGCATGTCATAGCTGTCTAATGACTTCCTGCCCGAGACATTCATTTATTGATACACTTGTTTACCTACTTCTTACACTTGTATTTTTCTTCCAACCAAACTTATAAATGGCTGTTGTCAAAAACTTGGGACTTGTGGTTGGAGCGATGGTCTGCTGGAGCAGTCACTGGGTCATACTCTGCTCTGAATAAGTGCAGTAGGTGGAATAACCCCTTCTCTGCCTGCTCCATTACTTAAAGACTGTGGTTGTAGCTGGGCATTGTTTTTGATGTCAGCCCATACATCACCTGAGCGCACCCATTAGCTCTGGCAGTGCCTGCAGTCAGGCTGTGGTCCACATTTGCTAAACCAATTTTTGCTAAGACTCAGTTTAAATTAAGACCATTTGTACCATCAACCCAAGACCTTTAATTAAAGTGTTAATGGGCCATTATTAAAAATTGCACAGGTGGGCAATCACTTGCTGTGCAAATAGAACAATGAAACATAAAATGTATGTACTCACAATCAAAGGGTTTTTCATTACTAAAATATTTCCTTTTACCCATAAGTATTGTTTTAAAGTTATTCTCAAATGGATTGCTTGAATAATAAGTGATCCTTTTGCACAAACTATTTTGTCATGATTGTTAGAAATAATGGGACTAAAGTCTTGACGCTACCTGGCTTGTTTTCCCACGTGTGGGCAAAGCGAACATGACAAGGTCTGCTGTTGGGACCAAAAGCCATGTTAACATAGCTAATTGTTCCATAGATGTCATGACTAATTTCTCTCCTTCTGTCTCTTTGCATTGTCTATAACTCAAAGATGTATTATTTTATTCTGTCTTTGTTTGCCTCATAAATTACTCTTGCCTGCTCTTTTCCCATTGTTTCTCACCCTCTCATTTGCATATGTCCCTGCAAAAACAAACAGCTTCGACACCTCACCAGTCGTGAGTCTTGGACAATCTCACTCCCTCATCTCCCCTCCAGTACAAAGCTATACTTGTTCTCCCTGCCCTTGCTTTCCAGTCTGACACGCTTGATCAAAGCTGGGTGCCTCGAGCCTCCATGGAAGCCTTTAAACCCATTCCAGCCCTGTTCTCAGGCCATGAAATATTCAGCGTGTACCTGTGCACGTATGCTGGATGGTTATTTGTGACTCAGAAGTGGGTCACACTAAGCATTTTGAATTATTATTCTTATTCACATCAAAAATGTAAAATATAAACATGTATTTTATAAATATAGAAGAAAGCATAACTGGTCAACACTGAATGTACTGACCTGATGAACGTAGATGGGTACAGTGTCTGTAAAGAGATCAACATTATCAGAAACGGTGCCCAGGTAGGCAGTGACATTTAATAGTGCAACTGATGTGCCAAAAACCATCTCCCACTCCATTATACCACCAACAATAACCTGACGCATTGATATAAAGTAATGTGACCCTACCATAGCTAAGTATCATGATGAATTATGATGATTAACCAAAAACTGATTAATTGTGTATGTTATATGCTGAAAGTTTTTATGTACCTGATTTACATTTGTTATGTGGCTGTTAATGTTTGGTGCAGTCTGCTCTTATTAAATATGAGGATTTATAGCCAAATTAAATTAACTTTGAAAGGCCACTTGCTCCTGGTTGTTATTAGGCGTCAGAAAGGCTAACATACACATCCCATATATTTTGTACCATATTTGAGAAACAAATTATATATAAATTATTCACTGTTTTCCTAACTGACCAATAAATCCAACTCTTCATTGTTGGACTGAAGAGTCAGTAGTATGTGAACAGAGTAAAAACTAAAGGACATAGAAAAAAAACTTTGATTTGATGCTTCTGAGAAAACACATTTTCGTGGGTGTAAGACTACATCCTAAAATAATATATTATTTTTTCTGCAAATTCATTACATTTATTGCCATGTATTCCCAATTAAGTAAATTCAAAATGCCACTACCACTTAACTGCTGGTGCAACACAGATTCAAGGGACGTATGCTCTAATAATGTGCAAAATGTTATTTGAAAGATGATTTTAAAGAAGCACAGAAGCTTTATAGTTTATTGAGGATTTAACCAGTCTGTAGAAAGACTGCCTCTTAGGGATTACGAAGTGATTTCATCCAAGGACCTTGGACTTCAGAAAAAAAAGACTACTCAGCTGGATTGAGTGCTTTAAGTGGAATATTAACATGCATTAAATGAGGCCAATATGTCAAATGTAAACCTTTCAAGCTATGAAAAGATTATTTTCACAAAGCATAATAGCCTTTTTTCAGCAGGCAGGAGTTTAAAAGTTGAACTAAATCCAGTCTTTCTTTAACAGTTGAATGTGGAACGATATGACTTTTCAGGTGAACATTGCTCAAATAGATATTGGGTCATTTCAATTCTGAAACAGATCTAGACCTCATATTTTGTCCTGCATCAAACCTGCATAAGTAATTAACCTGGAGCCATTTGGTAATTCGGTGGGGAGTGAAAGATATTTGCTAAAACAAAACTTGGGGAGGTCAGACTTTTTATAGGGAAACCCCATTTTTCTACCATGGTTTGGTAGAAAAATGCACCTTTCCACACTTGTCTTGACTTCAGCTAGCCCAACAGACGGCTTAACGCCTTGACAATCTTGAGGTGTTTTGGAAAATGCTCTCAGATACCTACCTAACATGTACCGTTGACTAATCTATGTATATATTTCAAGCATAAGAGTTGTATCATGGTCTGACAAGTAATTGCAGTCTCGGGTTCAGCGGTCGCATTGATCGCAGTAAGAGTTGATGGCCCTGGAGCCAAAGGGTGTTTTTTCCACACTTACTCCGAAGAGTTCTGTATGGTTACCCTTCATTAGCCTGGTTAGGACCTTTGTGTCAGGGTGTGTGTGTGTGCGTGTGTGTTTTGATGTGTGAAGGAGGCCTACTTACACTGAACATCTTGCAGAGCATGTACATCTATCTGTCCAGGAAGGATGTGTTTGCAGCAGCAAAGCCTTGGCTCACCGGGGCCATCTGGGAATCTGGCTGCTGTAATTAAATTTGATATGAAAGGCAGGATGGAGGGAGGGTTCTGTAAAAAGGAAAAGAGGTTTCCGAGATGGTAAGATTATAAAATTAAAGGAGACACAAGTGTGAGACAAAAAGAAAATGAAGAAGGTAAGCAAAACAAGAGTGGTTGGAATAGGTTTGGTGCTGAAAGGAAATGGTTCATTTCAGGATACAAATGCAGACCCACTTTAGCTGCTAATGAATTAATGCAACAGATGTTGCGGGAACTTGTGCAGTTGAAAGAGCTGGGATTTTGAATGTGAAGAAACATTAGCAGCTTTATGTACTTTATTTCATTTTATTTAAAAATCTGTCACTTAGATATACTTGAACATGCTATGATAATTAAAACATAGGAGCCATGTTTGTGCATCAGAAGCTGCTTCAAGCTGATGGTTCATGTTCTGCAGTTAAATGAAGGAATATTTTATAAAACCCACTTATATTAAGAAATTAAATATTTTATATAGGGTTCAGTGCTTACTGAAATTGTAATAACACTTAAACTCATTCACATTTTGTGACTGCAGCCAAGAACTTAATTTTATTACACTGGTATAAATGATCAAAGTCATACATAATTATGATGAACAAGTTTATTGGGGTGATTTAATTTATTTAAAATTTAACCCAGGGTGGCTGTAAAACTTAACAGTTTGACATTCAATTCACCTTCAAACATTATTTCTAAGACTAAATCTGTGTTTTTGTCTTTTCAGGTTGCCTCCTTAGGTGTGACAACCTTCACCCTTTGCGCACTCTGCATTGACCGCTTCCGTGCAGCCACAAATGTTCAGATGTACTATGAGATGATTGAGAACTGCACATCTACAACAGCCAAGCTAGCAGTCATCTGGATCGGTGCCCTCCTCTTGGCCCTCCCAGAGCTCCTCATTCGACAGCTTGTAGCAGAAGATACAGGGCTCCCGGACGAGCCCCCAGTTGAACGCTGTATTATCAGGATATCCACATCCCTTCCTGATATGCTCTATGTGCTTGGTCTGACCTATGAGGGTGCTCGACTTTGGTGGTGCTTTGGCTGCTACTTCTGCCTCCCGACTCTCTTCACCATTGGCTGCTCGCTCGTGACGGCACGTAAGATTCGGCACGCCGAGCAGGCCAGTGTTCGCAGCAATAAGAAGCAGATCAGGCTGGAGAGTCAGATGAACTGCACAGTTGTGGCTCTGGCAATCGTGTATGGTGCATGTGTGGTGCCCGAAAACATATGCAACATAGTATCTGCGTACATGGCAGCTGGTGTTCCAGAGCACACCATGTCCGTCCTGCATCTCCTCTCTCAGCTGTTGCTGTTCTGTCGGGCCGCCGTGACACCGGCGCTGCTGCTTCTGCTGTGTCGTCCATTAGGGAGGGCATTCCTGGACTGCTGCTGTTGTTGCTGCTGTAACCACGTACCCTCTTCAGCCACAGCCAGTGATGATAACGAGCATGAGTGCACTACTGAACTGGAGCTGTCGCCGTTCAGTACTATCCGCAGGGAACTGAGTAACTACACACCTGCTGGCTCCAACTGCTGAGCTGACAGTCCTGTTCAGGGAGGGAGATTTCACTGGCATGTTGGTGGCTTGTGTTTCTTGTGCTTGGCTAGGAGAGATTTTGCCTTATCTAGTCTCCACGCATTTTGTAAATGAGCGCACAAATGAGGTTGGACACCAAAAATGAAAATCACCTTTAGCCAACGGCCCACAAGTCTCAACTTTTTAAAAGTCTAACCTTTATTTTCCAAGAACAGCTAACAAAAACAAAATATTTTTCACACTCACAGCCTTGGGTGCTATTCAAACAAGGACAATACATATTTTTAGCAATCCTGCCTGAAACCTTTAGGACTCACAAACCTCCACTCTGTCAGGCACTAGTGCCCAAATGTAAGGAGAAGTTGGCATGGCCCCCTTTCCCTCTGGCCCGGTTTTTCTGGAATTATCCTTGAAGCATATTTCCATCACCTCCCAAATTGATTGCCACCCCTATAAATTGTATACACTCAACAACAACAGTTCTATTCTGAAACAAAACTTTGAAGATTTTTGTAACTTACTTTTCTTGAATCACGTTTTCTTGCATTTCCCATCTTGAAAAGTTCCTAGGAGAAAGTGACACCTGCGTCATTCGCACTTGATCGAGCTTCTCAGACTGGAAAATACAAAAAAAAAAAAAATCACATTTCATAATCAGTGCTTTAGGTCACACTTCAAAATCCAAACAGATAAATCAGGAGCAAGTAACCAAACATAGTTAGCAAATTGTTGAAAATGCAAACATTAAAACCAATAACATTAAAAAGTCAAATCTGTGCACAAATCTAGCTTTCACATCAGTCAAAACTTAAAACATCATAAAACAGAGGATCCCAGACTTCTTATCCCAAATTACAGCATCTACTGATGCTGACTACAACCCTTTAATATAATAAGACAACATCTGAAAAGAAATCCGAATGGAGATGTTTTCTATAAAGACCAGTGGAGTTTCAGTTTGTCCAGCATCGTCAAGCTTATGTGGGGATGCTGAAGCGGGCATTTCCTCTTGTCTAAGAGGCCTTGTCTATGTAATGATGACTGGGTCTTTCAACTGGACAGTGCTGCAGTTGACAACACCCTTCTCAAAAAAGACTGCTACCAGGAAAGCAACATTGCTCTTCTGGAGCATCCTGCATATTGAACTAACTTAAGTTCCTTTGAAAACAGGAAAGGAAGCTAATGCACAGCCTTTTGAGTTTCAAAACAATTTTCAATCACATGCCTTTTTTTTTATTTTTCCTTGTGCTCTTGTTCCTCGTATTGCATTTAAAGTTCAATTTATAACCTGACTGTGATCAGGGATTATGAAATGTGAATAGCCATAAATTTTTACTCAGTCTTGAAATTTTGATCAGGAATGTCTTTAAAGCAGCAGCATGTAACTTTTATAAAATCTGTTTGTAAAAGTTATATACTTTGGCTTTAAAGGAAGTTGCAGATTACCATTTAAAGGTTAAGTGACAGTCGAACTACTCTGTCTAGGAAAGAGTTAAGTTTATGTCGAAAATGCTTTTCTGCTACATCTACAGGAATTGTTAGGGTACTGTGGGTTTACCCTCCTGCTGTTATCATAAGTCATAATTTACAGACATTAAATTTAGTGTGAAATTATGATGCAGGGGTTTTTACTTTTTTATCAGGGGTGCCAATAAATGTAAATAATAAGGCAGTTTGTTTAAAGAAAAATGTAAACACAAATGTCCTTTGCCTTTACAAATAATGTTTATATACAAAGAATCCCTGTCACCATCAACCTGGAAGAGAACGATTCCTAATCATCTAAAAATTGTGCCACTGTTCATTAACAAGACAAAGATTAATTATTGCGTGTATTTTGTACAACTCTCAGATACATCGTCCTTCTAAAAGGCCTACACTGCCTACTCAAGTACACAACTGTGTTTACAGACTGAATCAGTGCAAATGTACAGTTCCTATGACGCGGCAGTGCACATAAGGGAGCGAAGCTCACAACTATTTAAAAAGTGATTCTGGTGGTTTGCAGGAAAAAAACAGACAAGTGTCTGCACTGGAGAATTCGGATGTACACGACAACTTTTAAGACTGTTTTACAGAAATATCTGGTCGATCCAGAAGAACTGGAGCTGGTCTCAGAGAACTGCAAAAATGGACACAGGCGGAACTTAAAAGGGACTTAAATGATTTTAAACAGATTTAATTTGAATTAAGCCAAATGGTATGGATTTAAAATGCTTCGAACTGAATTGACTAAAGTAAACATCAAAGGAGTGGTTAGTTATAGCATATAGCTGAACGTGACCGACTTGGGACTTTGCTGTATACTCTTGTATTGTGTCATGCCTTACACATTGGGGGTTGTATATAAACTGTACAATTTCTATGGTGCTCTTATGATAAATGCCCTGTGTACAGCAGATCAATATGTTTGACTTGGAACCACAAGTAACCAAGCTGCGTGTGTCATTTTGGATCAAAAACGCCAGTTAATTAATTGCCATAAATTCACCTTAACCTTGAAAAATAGTTTTCCCACAATGTTCAAAAGAGCTGAGCTTAATTTGGAGTCACACTATTCTACAGTAATGTTTACTAGGTCTCTTTCTGAGACTGACAGACATTGCATACTCAAGCAGATGCATTTTTTTTTTTTTTTACAATAACAGAAATTTGAGAATTGCTTTAGGATTATTAGGGCAATAAATATAATTGGTAAAAGAGATAATATAGGGTTTAAACAATACATTGTAAATAAGTGAAAAATAGGAAAGAATTGTAAATATACAATAAATAATACCTGTAATATCAATCTTTGTAAAATGTAAATACAAAATGTTTTTTCTACCATAACTTCACTTTATATTTCTGTACTCTACGCATTGTGCTACATACATTAAAGTACTATCAACATTTTAGAAAAACACATTTTTGACATTGTTTTTAAAGTAATGATCCGGTCACATCAAACACCAAATAGCTTGATTAGCCAGGTATATACAGATTTATATTTTAGATTGGTTGATTATTTCTTCCTTGTAACAATGCTTAGTGATAGACAAAGGTTTGTTCATTTCACTTTAAAGTTAATTTCACTTTAAATGATGCCACATTTATAAGTAAAACATTTAACCCACAACGCCTCCACCAACAACAAGATGATAATGTGCGTAGCTCACAAATGGGAAATTTAAGGGGAAATTAACAAGATAAAATTTATTTTCAAGTATTCCACCAAGCACAGATAACCTTGTTTTTGTCAGACGTACCTTTTCAAAAACATAAACTTTACATCGGCAGAAACCTTGTTGACCTCAAATGCTCCTTGCAGTTTCATTACTTGAGCTTTTAAGATTAACTAATGAAGCTTTTCACATGGCATTTACATGTGTCTTGTACTGTAAGTCTTTTTCTTGAGTCGACGAATCATCCCTGAGTCAACATAAGGGTAAAATTACTGCTTATAAGAACCCAAGCAGATATTTTAAAAGAACCGCTATGTGAACATTTGGCAAAGGAAGCATTTTTGAAAATGTTCTGTACATGAACTTTGTGGTGACCCAAGTTTGATGTTCATCAGTCTACTGTATATTGCGAAGACCTTTTGCATACAATCCTGCACTGCCAAACACCTTTTTTCTGTCTCTTGTGGTTGTAGCACTATTTCTCTGGGAGTCTCTCTCAGATCAGAAGCCACTTTACTTTTCTCTCCATCATTAGGATTGTCCTAGTAAAAAGACATATTAAGTCTACTACTGCACTTAGACAAACTTTACACAACAAGTTTGTAGCCTCTCTGGGTAGATGTAGCCTCTGGTTGGTGCTGGCTGCACTACATTAAGCAGTTCTTTGACATTACGCCCTATAATCTGTGTGATAACTCTTATTACAATCACTAAACGTGCCACTACTGAGGACTAGTATATAAATTCAAATAGTGATGCAGTTTTCTCACTGTCTCACTCACTGGAGTTTTTATGGAAGCAACAAGAAAACTCCATACTGAAAGATTTCAGGCTGGGATTCGAACCCAGGACCTTCTTGCTGCAAAGCAACAGCAAGCTACTGCTCAACGGTGCAGCACATAGTTCTCACATTAATAGATTTACAACTCTTTTGTAATTTAATAAGTGCTTACTGATGGGACTGACTTGTAATCTGGCTTCTGAACCTGATTATTATTATTATTTTTTGCATATTCCTGAAAGTATAGCTCATAAATGGCTCAGTGTGTAGTAATGTGGTTGAAACTATTGATGAAGTGAATCTTGTTAATCAGTCAGTGAGATGTTTCCTCTGAACTTTGTGAGTCCTTTCTTCACTCTGAGCTAAATGTGTCTGTATTTGATACCTGAAAATGTAAGCACACAACCACTGTAGTCCCCAAGTCTAGTCACTTGTTTCTAAATAGCTTTTATATAGCCAAAAATTGTCCCTTTGTTTATCAAAGAACTTTCTCTTGAAAACTGTATATTAAAATCCTAAATGTACCGTGTTGGCAATTTATTGTGTGGTTTGAACCCTGCAAAGATTTTCCTACATGAAAGTATAAAGGCGGAAATATATTGTGCTCAAGGAACAAGACATGACATGATAACTGGGTTCACGAGTTTGTTGTCACTACATTTTAAAAATATTTTCTCTACTAGTTAAATAAATATTTCAATGTTTAATGATCTCTGAATACATATATACAAGTCCTGCTTTGGCACAACCAAGTACTGCAGTATGAAGGCAAAATTCCATCTGCAGTTATAAAATAATAGCGTTAGTAGCTGGTTCATAACTAGGTTTTCTTCCAGTTTCTCACAGGAAAACAATTTGTCATAAATCTCTAGTTTATAATTCTATAAACTATTTCTTGTTTTTAGAAACAAACTGTGAGTATATTTCTATGCAAATTCACAATACCATCTCAGTAGATAATCTACACTTCAGCAAGAGTTTATTTTCTCATAATTTTCTAACTTAATAAATATAGAATGAAAAACACGCAGACTAACTCTTACACAGCCAATATGGCACAGAAGACTTTCTAAGGGAATGTATTACTGTTAATAACTTCACTGAGCCTCTTTAAAAAAATTAAAAGCCTAAAATGTATTTAATTTATTCATATCTCAACTCTAGTCTAATAGTGAGTTAGTCAAGTGAAGAGCAGCAGATTTGCTGTGCCAGAATTTGCTCATTTCTAGCAGTTAAATATTTAAATAAGAATATTCATGCTCTCTTTAAATTTAATGAAGCAAAGGAAGATCTCATTTTATTCTCTCTTTTCATGTCAAGCTTTATGCGCAAAGGAGAAAAATGTATATAAAAATTGTTTAAATCTTTATTGTACGTGAGCGAAAAATGCATAATAATTCGGGTTGTGTTAATATATAAAATATTTATTTGCAGTTTAGATGATTTGATGTTGGTTACACAAATTCAGCACAATCTTAAAACATGTGTACAGTAGTTGCACCAATAATCCAAATTAATATTTGAATCTATAAGACTGATCAGTGTTGATTAATTTTGGTATTTGTCACATATATATTTGATACATGATGGTTTTTGAATGACCACAATCTCAAAGTTTGGTGCCATATCTAGTTTCTCATCTGATAAATGCAGGTAGAAGAAAAGCAGAGAGGAAGTTGACAAAATGATTTCATGAAAAACAAAAAATGTACAATACTGGCAGAGGGAGAACAAATCGTCCAACCGGAAAGCTTGTTGTAAGAACCCAGCACTGAACGGGGTAAAAAAAGGTGAAATGATGGCTGAAGAATTATATTGGGATCAGGTGAGCTTAATCAGAAGGATTTCTAACAGTGTGTGAAGCAGGGGAAATGAGGAAAGGAAATGAGTTAACAGATTAAATAGAAAGAGCTGAACTACAACACAAAAATATCTACAAAGCAAAATTGAGAAAGCCCAACTTCAATGTGAGACAATAAACCAAATACAGAGATAGAAACTCAACAAATAAGAAACTAAACAAAGGAATGAGCCTTTTATTATAAGAACCTAACAATAATGCACCACAAAAAGAAACAAACTGAATACGGCAAGCTTTTAATCTTATTATTACTCACAATAATAGCAATAATAAGTTTATTATTATTGCAGAACTATGAAGTGATTTTTTTTTTTTTTTGCAGGACTTCATCAATCAAAAGAGAAAATGCCAATTGAGAATTTTTAGCGACTATAGTTACCCCTGATTGCAACTTCACTCATTACTTCAACTTATCTTTAATCAGTTTGGAGTTCAAAGTAATCATAAACATTTAACTTATGACTACTAACAGGCAAAAAGGCTATCTTTGCCTCTTCTTTGCTTTGTTCAGTGCTCTTTTCTTTGCATCTCATTTGTTGATGTAGAAAAATGAAGAAAGATGAGTGTGAATGGTTTTCATTCATATCATTCATGAACAGTATGAATTTAGGCAACAGTTGTGTCATTATGACCCAGCTTGAGAAACTTATTTACAGGATATGTAAATAAGTTTTCATATTTGACTAAATATGTAAACTTATATTGGGAATACTTCTTGTTTCAAAAATTTGTTCCAGTTAATGTAACTCTGTAATTCAACCATGTAAGTAAAGGTTGGACTAAAAATGACAAATTATTTTCCAATTTCCTTAGGCAATTTAGAGAAAAGCAATAAAATCAAAATTATAATTCCATATTAAACCACTGAAAAGGCTAATTAACTGAGGCTGACATTAAGCCTAATGGAACCAATAAGTGACTGAGAAATTCAGAGGCGTCAAGTTTATGGGCAACACAATAAAACTTTGCATAAGAAAATGGCTTGAAATGACAAAATAAAAATAATATTTCAACCAGATGCTGAGTAGTTGTTTCTCATGCTGGGTCATAATGACACAACTGTTGCCTAAATTCATTTTTCTACATCAACAAATGAGATGCAAAGAAAAGAGCACCAAACAAAGCAAAGAACAGTGTGGCATGTCAAAAGAAACACTTTGAAATTTAAACCACATAAATTTTCTTAAATGTTATTTGGAATTAGTTAAAGCTATTATAAAAGAACCTTTTACTAATGGATGCCCTTCGTTAAAGGGTGATACTACTGTATTTGTATTATTATGTGTCTACACAAGACTGAATGTATTATTTTAGAAATTGACATTTTCCAATAAGCACACAAGCAGACAAATATTTAACCTAATCTCTGCTCTTCAGTGCCTCAACAGAAAGCTTCTTTATGCTGCAGCCATGCCATAGCATAATGTTCCCTCATTTTTCTTCCTCGAGACATAAGAGGATGATTTAAAATACTCTCTTCTAACACATCCTACACCCCCACCCACCTCCTCGCCTTTCTTCTGTTAGATCCAAGTTGTTATACAACGCTGATGATAGCAGCCGACGTCCTGAGTCTGCATCTTAGATAAGAAGAGAACTATTTATGCCTCGTGGAACAGAAATGGCTGTCATGCTGGAACAATGCAAATGCCAAAAGTCTTCTCCAACCTCCAAATATGACGTGTTCAGTCCTCCAGAGTACAGCGCTAACTCCTACTGTTGAGCTTTTCTACATTCTTCTTTTTTAAAAGAATATCAGGGATGTGAGCAGCTCAGAAAGATACATAGTAAATGAAAGTAGATGATAATTTGCTGTTCAATAATGTGTGAAAGCATAAACGGCTGAAATGGCAAATACTCTGTGATGGGTTTTGACATTTAAAGTCTGGATAAAGCACTGAATTATTCTGAAAGAATTACAATTTTTGATTTATCGAACCTGGACTGTGTGTAGCAAAAAGCCTGATTCTAATGGTGCATTCACACCAAATGCTGCAAGTTTAATGTGTGTGCACTTTTGGTGCATTCACTTTTTGAGCGTCTGGATTTCATTCAAAGTCTATGTGGATGTGTGTCGAGGTCCATTTCACCGTGTTTCGAGCGTCTTGTGTGGCGCGATTTGAACCAATTGGAGCATTTGACGCCTCAAGTGCATCCAACACCTGGTTTGGATGTAAACCAGATGTGCCTCATGTTCAAAACACGTTTGGTATAAATGCACCAAAATTGAAGCTTCAGATGCATTTAGTGTGAACTCACCATTATTCTTAAAAATATTTTTGCCATCTGGTTGTCAGTATATTGAGTTGAAGTCCAGCAAACAGTTTTTGGTTCTCATTGTTTTTGGATTAGTACAAACCTCTTTTAGACAAATGGTATTTTTTAAGGGCATGTGGGATGGACAAGGAAGGGGCTGCTCAGAAAAATATTGTCAAATTAGCTCCTAATCGTACTCTAAATCAAACTCCTTAGCTATCTGGCACTTATCTGTCAAGAACAAAAACGAGACACCTCCATTACACACGGCTGATGGAAACTAAGCACTCGCTCTCTTTGAAATCTGCCAATATTGAACCTTTTATGAAATGTTCCAGTATCCAAGTCTTGTCACACAGGCAGTTATGTATTTGTGCACAAGTGTAAAGATGGGACGTTGTCCCAGAAACGCTGACAGGCGAAGTGCCTCTCATCTCCATAATTTTCTCAAAAAAAAAAAAAAAACAGCTGGCCTCCTGCCGATGCACTTGTTCATGCTCAATCAGCCTCAATCAGCAACCCCTTGCTTCTGTCTGCCTCTTTCAGCAGACATGCTTGTGTCTGAGAGTAGGTGTCTTTCGGTAGTGTGACTAAATCGGGAAAGTGGTGTTCAGTTTGTAACCATGTCCTAATTTAGTAAAATGTAAAGCAGTTTTCTGCTTGTCAGATTTTATACACCTTTCATCTGCTAAAATATTTGGCCCAGAAGGACTGCTGTGAGATCGAGATTTTAATCTCTATTTTTTTCTGAATTTATTGTACAATTAACCCTGCAAAACAAATACTCAGACAAAGTTCCTTTTACTCTGATCATTCCTGTTTTTTATGGGTTTTTTTTTTTTTTGTGAAACAGGATTAATTTTGGCCGTTAAACGTCGCCTGAAAAGACGTTCAAACTACTTAGATTTATTCTTGTGCAATTCTTCAGCAGGTTTCACAAACGTACTCCCACTTGTGTTTGTCCAAGAGGGAATTCATGAAAAACAAGAACTTCCAGCCAAGCAATCTGGCTTATGGGCTAAGGTTTTTCCTGGCTCTGCTTTATGAATGGTTACGATAGTAACCAGGGTTTCAAGTTACCGTGCTTTAAAACTTTTACCCTTTTTTCTTAACCTGCTCTGCATCTTGCTTTGAGAAGATTGAGGATATCGTTTCACAGCATTGAAAGGCAAGTCATGCTAACAGAAGTGGAAGGTTAATTTAGCTAAATGTTGCGAAATACTGAAAGAACACTATTGTTCATATTTTAACTCTTATTAAAAATGGGTTGGCAGAAATTAGTGCCTTTTTGTTCTTCATAAGACAAAAGCAAAATTTGTTCGCTTCAAAGCATACAGAGAAAATACAGACTGTTAAAATTCATTCAAAAACCAGAGAACTGAAGCTTGAAACTATTGACAAAGTTTAC